CTTCTCTGAGCAAACCTTTACATTTAAAAAAACTTTTGGAAAAAAAATTAAAAATTAGAAAAAAAAAAACTTTTGCAACATGTTTTACACATTTACAAAATAAATCAAGGCCTGGCACATTGGCTTACACCTGTAACCTCAAGAGGCTGAGGAGGCCTAGGACTGAGGCCAGGAATTTGAGACCAACCTGAGCAATGCAGCAAGAACCTTTCTCTAATATATATATATATATTTTTTTTTTTTTTTTTTTTTTGAGACAGAGCCTCAAGCTGTCGCCCTGGGTAGACTGCCATGGTATCACAACTCACCAGGCTATTTTTGTTATTATTGTCATTGTTTGGCAGGCCTGGGCTAGGTTCGAACCTACCAGCCCTGGTGCATGTGGCTGGTGCCCTAACTACTGAGCTACAGGTGCTAAGCCTACAAAAATTTTTTAAAAAAATAAGCTGGGGTAGGACAGCGCCTGTGGCTCAAAGAAGTAGGACCCAACCCCACATACAGGACGTGGCGGGTTCAAACCTAGCCCCAGCCAAAAAAAAAAAAAAAGTTGGGGCAGTGGCACATGTCTGTCAGTCCATCTAAGAGGCTGAAGCAGGACGAGCACTTGAACCCAGGAGTTTGAGGCTGCAGTGAGCTATGATCATGGCACTGTCCTGGAACCTGGGCAACAGAGTTAAGATCTTGTCTCTAAAACAAAAACAACACAAATCAACAAGGAAACAATAATTCCATCCCTGTTCCAGCCCCATGCCAACAAAACAAAACAAAATTCAACAACAGAAGCAACAAGCCAGGAGTTTCTTAGGGACATTCCTTCTGCAATGTTCTTCAGGGCCTGAATCACTAAGTCTTGGAATTAGAGGCCCCAAGAGCTACACTATTTAAATGTGTCCTATGTCTCTCCTTAAAATCATCTCTCCCCTTAAAGAAGTTCAAGAGACTACTTGTTAAAGCACTACTACTCTTGGAACTGAATGACATCAGCTGCTTAGATTTATAACTTTATTCACCAAATTCTATACATTTCTGTTATCTTTTGAATCTTGCCTAAGCCAACATTTTTTTCTTCCATTATTTCTACCATTACTTCCATTATTTCTACCAATACTCCCTTTAATTAAATGGAATTAAAAAAAAGTAGTCAAATAAGGTCTATATCTAGACATAGCCTCCTAAGATTTTACAATATAAAAAGGGGGGAAAAAAAGATCCCCAAAAGCTCTTTTAGTGTGAAGCTTGAGTATCTCCTTAGCTCTGGAAATACTTATCTATCTAAATCTTTTATTTTTTATGTTTTTAGAAAACCTGTAAAAACTGAGATAAAATTAATTAAACGTCACCATTTAAACCATTTTATTTATTTACTTATTTATTTTTTGAGACAGAGTTTCACTATGTTGCCCTCAGTAGAGTGCTGTGGCATCACAGCTCACAGCAACCTCATACTCTTGGGCTTAGGCAATTCTCTTGCCTCAGCCTTTCAAGTAGCTGGGACCACAGGCACCCAACACAACGCCTGGCCATTTTCTTGGTTGTAGTTATCGTTGTTTGGTGGGCCCGGGCTGGATTTGAACCTGTCAGCTCCGGTTGGGGTATGTGACTGGCACCCTAGGTGCTTGAACTACAGGTGCTGAGCCATTTAAACCATTTTAAAGTGTATAATTCAGTGGTTTTTAGTACTCACACAAGGTTGCACAACCACTATCTAATTCCAGAACATGCTCATCACCCTAAAGAGAAATCCCATACTAAATAGTCATTCTCTTTTATTTTTGAAGTTCTATTTTCTGAGGTTCTTGGCAGTAGGGATTTGGACCTCCTAGATTGTTCTTTTATCATTGTAAACTTTTTCCTCCTATTTCTATCACATTTTGTTCTATATTCTGGGAGAGTTTCTTGACTTTATTTATTTTTATCTTTTATTTTTGAGAAAGAGCCTCAAGCTGTCGCCCTGGGTAGACTGCCATGGTATCACAACTCACAGCAACCTCCAACTCCTGGGCTTAAGCAATGCTTCTGCCTCTGCCTCCCAAGTAGCTGGGAGTACAGGCGCCTGCCACAATGCCTGGCTATTTTTTGGTTGCAGCCCTCATTGTTGTTTGGCGGGCCTGGGCTGGATTCGAACCTGCCAGCTCAGGTGTATAAAGCTGGCACCTTAGCCACTTGAGCCATAGGAGCCAAGCCTCTTAACTTTATTTTCTAATCCTTTCAAAACAGATTTTTGGGGTGGGGGGTGGGGGGACACAATCTTCCTCTGTTGCCCAGGCTTGAGTGCAATAGTGTCATAACTTATGCAAACTCAAAACTCCTGGGTTCATCTGATCCTCCTGCCTCAGTGTCTGAAAATGAGGAATCATACCTACCCTGAAAATAGAATTTCTTTTCTTTCTTTCTTTCTTTTTTTTTTTTTAATTGAGACAAGAGTCTTACTCTGTTTCCCCAGGCTAGAGGGTTTATGCCATCAGCCTAGCTCACAGAAACCTCAAACTCCTGGGTTCAAGTGATCCTCCTTATAGCTGGGACTACAGCACCTGCCATAATGCTTAATTTTCCTATTTTTAGTAGGGGGAGGGGTCTCACTCTTACTCAAGCTGTTCTTGAACTTCAGAGCTCAAGTGATCTTCCTGCCTCAGCCTCCCAGAGTGCTAGGATTTTATAGGCGTGAGCCATCACACTTGGCCCTGAAAATGGAATTTAAAAAAATTTCAGCAGTAATATTTTAATTTCAAAGAGCTTCCTCTTTATATTTATTTTAAAAATATACTATTCTTTTTACTATTTTATCATCCTGGGTGTATTAATAAGATAATTCAAAACTTTCCTCCTATTCTTTATGTTATCTCTTTTTTCTCTAAGGTTAATCTTTCTGTTAGTTTAATTTTGGTCATTTTCTCTATGCTGCTGTTTTTTCTCAGATGCTAGAAGAGTCACATGGTTATCCATTCACATTTTGGGCAGAAGGATAGAAAACTGCCCTTTACAAAAAGGAGTGATGGAAAGACAGGCCAGAAATGAATCAAAGTGGTTATTATAAAGGAGTATAGGGCAGGGCTGAGTTCGACAAGTGTGTTACCTAAGGGTGAGGAGGTAGGAAACCAGGCCATAAGGCAAAACCCAGCAGAGCTCTGAATTCAAGTAGGAATAAGCTTATTTTGGAGCAGCAACAGCCATTTTGGAATTCTCAGTTTATTTTGGAGCAGCAACAGTCATTTTGGAATTCTCAGCTTTCCCCAAATATTTCACTGAATTTCTTTTTAGAAGAACTATTTGGTGTTTTACATTGGGAAAAATGCAGGCTGCCTGAGTGGAAGTGGGGATAAAAAAGGTGGCAGGTGCAGAGAAGAACTGCAGAGTAGAGCAGCTTCCCACTTATCGTCATTAAATTAATAGTCTGTTTCAGCCCCAATTCTCATTTCTGCTCATCTTTGTCCCCAAGCCTTCTCTGGAGATCTGTTGGGCTAATCCAATTCTAGTTGAGAGTATTTTTTAGTGCTTAGGTTGTAGCATCTTGGCTTGTTTTCTCTTTCAACCTGCTCCTATTAACTCCCCAAATTCCAGAAGTTTATGAAAATTTCTTATTTAGTAGTGATCCAATCATGTGGTTTTCTTTGCTGTTTTGATATTTTTTCCTTTTTCTTCTTCTTCTTCTTTTTTTTTTTTTTTGAGACAGAATCTCACTCTGTTGAGTGGAGTGCAGTAGTCTCATTGTAGCTCACTGCAACCTCAAACTCCTGGGCTCTAGCAATCCTCCTGCCTCAGCCTCCAAAGTAGCTGGTACTATAGGCTTGTGTCACAATACCCAACTAATTTTTCCATTTTTAATAGAGATGGGTTCTTGCTCTTGTCCAAGCTGGTCTCAAACTCCTGAACCCAAGCACTCATCCTACCTGTCCTCCCAAAGCACTGGGATTACAGACCTCTCAGAGTACAAGGATGACAGGCATATGCGAGCCACTCCCTACCAGTACAGTAATTATTTCATACACATTTGCATGCAAAATTAAAAAACAATAACACAGTAAGAAGCAAAGCTGTGTAAAGAATGATTTTAACCTTTTCTAATTAAACATTAATATTTATTCAAAATAGGGAAATAAAAATCTATGCATTTGCAGAATTATGTTGACATAATGGCTGCAATGAAGGTCAGCCACATACTATATTCTTAAAATCAAATTATAGTAATTCTCGAAAATCTAGATTACAGTAGCTTTGGTTGAAATACCACCTCAAGTCAAAGGGAAAAGATAATGCTTATTAACAAATTAAACCCACGTAGTTTTGCTTAGTTCAATAAAATAAAAGTAAACTTTTTCTGATGACAGCCTGAGGACACAGGGAGGAACATCTGAAGATTAATGATCATCATATAATTTTATATGTGTTATAAACTATTTAGCTGACTGGGCCAATTGTACCCTGGAATAGATGTTTTTTTTTTTTTTTTTTTTGAGACAGAGCCTCAAGCTATCCCCCTGGGTAGAGTGCTGTGGCATCACAGCTCACAGCAACCTCTAACTCCTGGGCTCAAGTGAGTCTCCTGCCACAGCCTCCCAAGTAGCTGGGACCACAGGCGCCTGCCATAGTACCTGACTATTTTTGGGTTGCAGCGGTCATTTTTGTTTTGGTGGGCTGGGGCTGGATTTGAACCCACCACCTTAGGTGTATGTGGTTGTGCCTTAGCCACTTGAGCCACAGGCACTGAGCCAAATAGATGTTTTTGAATAAATCTCACTTTTTAAGAAAAATTGTATAGTAGAGAGGGGCGGTCTCACTATGTTGCTCACAATAGTCTTGAACACCTGGCCTCAAAACATCCTCCCACCTTGGCCTCCCAAAGTAATGAAATTATAGGATTGAGCCACCATGCCTGACCTCATTTATCCATTTTCATTTGCTTTGTTCAAACAAGATATCACTGGAAGAATTTCAGTTTATCAGGGTTATAGTTCATTGTGGTTATAAAAAATTACAAACCAAGATAAATCTCAATTACCTACCTAACCGATGAAATCCAAAAGTAAATCTTTTAGTTGGTGATTTTGATGACAGCCACAAAGCAAACAGGGTGAGTAGGATGGCGCTTAGATCGGTTAACATATGAAGTGCATCTGTCATGATTGCTAGGCTATTTGCAATGTATCCACCTTAGAGTAAGAGCGGGAGGGAAGAAGGAATAAGTTAATTCAAAAAAATCAGGAATCAAACCAGAAGTATGTAGCACCCTACCAAACATGAACTTCTAACTAAATCTTTATCGAAGTCAAAGTATTTTGAAATTATATGCAAATATATATGTATTTTATTATTTTCCTGGTGAGAACATCAATTTATGTTAACAGATTCTCCAAAGAGTCAATAACCTTAAAAAGTTAAGAACCCCTAGGCAAACATACAAAGAAAAATCCAAAATGTTAATATCTAAATATAACAAAGCTAAAAAAAGGATAGGTGTTCACTTGTTGAACATAATATTGTTTTGTTATTGCCCAAGTCAGTACTTTGGCACAGTCATCAATCACTATAACCTCAAACTCCTGAGTTCAGGCAATCCTCCTGCTTCAGTCTCCTAAGTAGCTAGAACTATAGGTGTGTGACACCATGCCTGGCTAATTTTTTTATTTTTTAAAGATGAGATCTTGCTATGTTGCCCAGGATGATCTCAAACTCCTGGCCTCAAGTGATCCTCCCACAGTGCCGGGATTACAGATCTGAGTCAGTGCTTCTGGGCTGAACATAAAATTAAACCGAAGAAATCACGAAATGGGCTCGGCGCCTGTGGCTCAGGTGGCTAGGGCGCCTGCCACATACACCTAGGGTGGCAGGTTCAAATTCAGCCCGCCAAACAACAATGATGGCTACAACAACAACAACAAAAAATAGCCAGGCATTGTGGCAGGTGCCTGTGGTCCCAGCTACTTGGGAAGCTGAGGCAGGAGACTCACTTGAGCCCAGGAGTTGGAGGTTGCTGTGAGCTGTGATGCCACAGCACTCTACCCAAGGGGACAGCTTGAGGCTGTGTCTCAAAAAAAAAAATATAAGAAATCATACAATGGATATTAATTCAATGTAAGATACAAAAATTAACTGATTAAAAAAAAGAAAAAACATTAACTGATTCACTTGTATATAGACAGTAGTATCTCTGAATAGAGGGACAAAAGGTGGTATTTAGGATACAATTTTTTTTCGGTATTGACTTTCCAGGCAATATATAAATTACACATTTTTCATGTGTGTGTCTGTATTATCTCACTGTGAACAACCAACTTTCCCAGCACCATTCAGTGAATAAACAAACTCTTATGTGGGGGGAAGATGGGAGGAGTCAGTAAGTTTCCACCTAAAGGGGTATATGTCACACCTCCTAGGTGAAGGACTCAACTATAACTCACTGTCTACCTTATAAACAGAAACAAGGTAACCTAATCATAGTACCCTCATATTAATCTGAACAAATCCCCCCAACTTTTATGTGTATCAGAATTACCTAGAGGGTTTGTTAAAATAGAAACTGCTTGACTTTACTCCCAGAATTTCTGATTCACTGGATCAGAGATGGGGCCTGAGAATTTGTAATTCTAACATGTTTCAAGGTGATAGGGATGCTTCAGGTCTGGGAACCACAGTGAGAATGACTATTAAAATATATATCACAACTTCATAATCAAGTAAGTGTGCTAAGTTATTGAACCCCCTCATTCCTGGGCCAGGTGTGCAGAGCCAAGAGCAGCAGGGGCTAATGATCTTATAGTCACATACATTTATCTCAGTGTATGCTTTATATAAATATCATTTTCTGCGTATTCCCCAACATGAAAAAGCTGGAAAGCCCTGATAGGTTAGTGATTAATAACATGTAGCTTTGGAATCTCAGAGACATTGAGTTACTTAATCTTTTGAACCTTACTCATCTATAAAATGAGGATAATTCCTTAAAGCCACACTGTCTAGAACTTTCTGAGATGATAGAAATGTTTTATATTTGTGCTGTGCAACGGAGTAGCCACTAAACAAATGTGGCTTCTGAGCATTGGAAAAATGGCTAGTGAAACTAAGCAATTAACTTAATTTTAATTAACCTAAATTTTAAAAGCCACATGCTGCTAATGTCAGCAAAAACTAAGTAAGGACCTCTAAAAATCACCTCCTTCAGATAAGCAATGAGAACATGTACAAAATTGATCAAAATCAGCTTTTTCAGAACTTTGGAAATGAGCTAAAGGCTTATCATATAACATTTATTCAATTAATAAATGGATGATTTTTCAGCAAAAACAACTTTGCAGTGTTTTAACTTGTCCTAATTATACTCATTTGCCATTCTCCAGTTCTACAGTAGCTTGGAAACCAACAGGCCACAAAATCTCACCTTGGCAGTCACTGGAGGAGGCAAAATAGGTTTGGAACTCCTTCAAAGCCCTGTTTCCAGAGAAATGTCATTATTTGACCTCTCTTGGCGTTCCCTGAAATACCTGCAAGGTTGTTTTTACTTGACCTGACCCTTGGCACTTGTCCTGTGTCAACAGCTCCCACCTTCTTTTCCCATGCTTGTCAAAAACAATCAGAGGCAACTATTCAACACTGCAGCTGCCTGAGGTGGTAGATAACAATGTGTTGCCTGTGTTCTGAAATTTCACAATGATGTACCTTGATGTGGATCTCTTTTCCCCAAATTTACTGGGTTTTTGTTGATGGTTTTAATCTGGAAATGTATAACTTTCAGTTCTTAAACTATAGTACTGATGAATTTCTTCCCTTTTGCTGTCTCTATTTCTCAGACTCCTAATATTTGGAATTTAGACTGATAATTCTATTTTTTTTTTTTTTTTTGCCTATTCTCTCCAATTATCAGGAGTTTTTTGCTCTACTTTGAAAAGAGTGCCTTAATTCATCTTTTAACTTTTCTGTCTTTTCTTTTTTAAGACTGAGTCTCACTATGTCACCCTTGGTAGAGTGCTGTGGCATCATAGCTCACAGCAACCTCAAACTCTTGGGCTTAAGCGATTCTCTTGCCTCAGCCTCCAAAGTAGCTGCAA